GACTATTAATTATTAAATTAACAGTATTTGTAAATAAATACCCGTCAGTCTCGGATGGCAAAATTTTTAGATTGCAAAAAGTGTTCATTAGTAACCACATGACTTTATTACAATATGAAATAGAAGTTGTATAATAACCGGTAGACAGATAACCATCTTTTCTATTCAAAATTTAGCTTGAGTAACACAAAATTGACAAGGGGAATGACAAGCATTGTATTATCCCGAGATGAGGCAGACTGATCCACATTATAATGTACACGCTAGTGAGTATGAAGGGTGGAAAATTGTCCTTATTTGCTCATGAAATTATATAAGAGGCATACACACTCGATAAGAAGAGATAATCAGGAGGCCTCCACTTTATTATTCATGCGCATCAGGAGTCTCGTCCGGCGCAACGACATCTGTCGCTGCACGCATCGCTGCATATGCTGAATAGTCGATGTGCCCATGACTTGAGTAGCCAAGACCGACACCTCGCTGTGTATGTGTGTGTGTCCTTGATGCCTCATATTCCTGTTCTAGCCGGCGGAAAAGCGCCGATTGAGCAGCTTCGCCAGTAGAAGCTGCAGCCAGCAGGCGTTCATCTTCTCTAACCTCGGGGAGCGCCGATTCTCCAAGGCCCATTAGCTTGCAGAACTTAGCTGCAGCTTGTTGGTTTCCCTTGCCTGCAATAAGGGAGGTAGAAGACCACATCGCCTTCTTATTCTAAGAAGAGAAAACGATGAAATGGGAATAAGTAAATGAAGCTCATTTTCATGTAATCAAGCGCATATGATAATTTAAAGTGATGCCTCCATATTCCTCTTAAAGCTGGTCTATTTACTTTTCGGGCTAGATGAATAATTCTAAATGCCCTATGCTCCGAATCCTAAGCCTAAATAATGACTTAATAGTTGACTTCACATTTAGGAAAAAAGGTTGGTTGAAAATGATTTGTGAATTAGTTTTACTGAAAGCTAAAGCGGAGACTACATTCGAGTGAAGAGGGGCTCGTCTTACTATTTTGAGTCCGAAGAATACGCGACGAGTTTTAATATGCCCATTTAGACGCAACCAGGGCGACAAATTATATTTTATTAAAATGTGTCGAAATTATACATTGTTCTACCCGGATTCGATTCCAGCTGGGAAATCATACAAGATTTAGGCGGAGTTTAAATGGCAGTCATCCTGTACCAGAATAACTTTTGGGAAGTAGAACCGAGTTAAATCCGCAAAGCCCAATTATATATCGCTGCAAAAATCCCAATATCCGTACTCCATCGGATGCGACCTAGGGTATCGGAGCTGATAGTATGAATTCTAGTTATTCTTTATCTAAGATAGCATTCGATAGAAGCATTAAGTTCCTAGGGAAGACAGTGCAAAAATTACATATGACGATGTGTTAACTATTCGGTAATGGCAGAGTAGCAAAATTAAATGGGGAGTGTGGGCGAAGACAAGTTGATTTTTTGCCTATATTGTTACATGCGTCGCTTAGCGTATAATGCTGCCAACGACCTGAGTATACTAGGTGGCATAACGAGGATTGTGAAATCTTGACTCGTTTAAGGTTAGGGGCAAATAAACTATTAACTAGATACACAATCCAAGTTCCAGGTTACATTAAAGTAAGGAATGTTACGACAGGTGGGCAAATACTAATATCAATACCCTTAACACCATAATAAAACGATGTTGCGCGCCAATGAAATACATTTCTGTAAGCAGATAATAAATATAATCTGTGACGTATCAACATATGTATCGTTATCTGACGATGCAAAATGTCAATACTAAATATGTGAGTTTATTTATAATTCATGCCTGTTGTGCAACTCAGGAGAGTATAGGCATATTGTCGAAGGAGTAAAGTTTTTGTCTCTGAACGAGCACCAGCACGGAATGGTGATACAAATGAACAGTCTGCCGAAGAGCATTGAATAGGAAATTTCAATGCGAAGCCAATATTACTTCAAATTGCCAGTATTCTCTTATTTCTGCATATGCGAGCAATGCATCGTATAAAGGAGGGGGGCCTCCATGACAGCAGTAATTCATCGGTGCCTTTTAGCTCGAAGCTCAAAGTACCAGATGTATTGGTTATGATGTTAAAAGAAAACATAACATAACTACAATCAACTAGCCATTTGCACAGAATGGAAGAAGTGTATGAACTCTGTTAAAAAAGGAATTAGGGAATTACCGGTTTTCCCAGCTGTTTTAGCCTACAATTCGTATTAGTAAATGTAGTAGACCGATTCAAGCCAACCTCAAATAGTGACACAAATGATTAAATTCCCCTATCCTAAGGTACCAGGAAAAAATTATTTCCCGCCCAAAACTTGTGTGAGCCTACGTATGTGTGCTTGACGCTACTTCTAGGTGTCACCAAATACATCTATATTCAGTATAAGAAACTAAGAGAGACTGAAGTCTGCAATGTGATCTGTGCGGCTGATTTGGAGACTAAGATTTTTATCTATTAAGAATAAAGGATCTATATAATTAAGGCAGAAGTATGAAATCAGTATAGGAAAATGGATGTAAACGAATGAGAAAAAGACAAAATTCAGTTATTACTTGTGAGAGAGTAGAAAAAAGAACATAAAGAGGATTGATCTATTGTAGGGTGAAGGTGCAAACTGGCTAAGCAGAGGTGTGCTTTTGAAGTAGTGCCAGTCTTGGCCAAGTCAAAATTCGAGTACAGGTCTATTGAATAAGAAACTCTTCATATTCAACATGGACTCAATGACAGGTTTGCGCGATTCAGTGATGAATATGCGAGAAATGTAGGAAGGCTGTATAAATATAGGCATATTGCGAGAAAATTAAGTAAAAACGAGACATTATATACGAATAAGAGTTTAGTTAACAGGATTCGTAACCCTATATATATATATATATATAAATTTATATTAAACTTACGGACTTTTTTTAAGAGGATTTTTTTAAAATTTATAAGGTAATGAATTAGACGTTGGTTAAGTAGTAGTGATATAAATAACTTTCCATTCGTCTTTCGCAGAATATCGCTGGATGCGAAGTTCTATGAAGTCTCATCTCAAGTAACTAAGCTACGAAATAAGGGAAAATAAATGTCTAGCAAAACGGCATGACAACGCGCATATTAGGCCTGCGATTTGTAGTCGATATTGTAATAAAATACTTTACTCTAACTAGCAGAGACGAATATTGCGAACAATTTAATTGCGAACATATTATATAGGAAATGCGAATGCATTAATTAGATGAAATTTATCATTTCATACGCAGTCATGGCTAGTTTTTTTAATATAATATAATTTTGTGCATAGAGGCCACACCACCCAATGATGTACATCGTAGATATTAATAATATCGTCCTAGTAAGAATATCTAAAAAATCAATAGATTCAGACAGTAAATATTATCACTATCAAGCTAAATGAATCATGCACAGTATTAAATTACTATGATTAATTAGAGAGTTTTCCTCCTGTAATTTAGAAGATCATGATGTAAAAAGGATATTAATTAATTTCATTTCATGTATACATCAAATTTTGTTCCTTATGTCCCTTATTCTGAAAATAGTTTAATTGATAAAAAAAGCAAGATAACGAAAATGAAATTTGTCTTGAGGTCCAAATACTTAATGCAAACTGTAAGAAAAACAAATATTAATTTCATTGTATCATCATTTCATCATGATAGTAGAGGAAACATTTCAGTTTCTAAATGCTTTTAAAAGCAATTTACATTATAATCACTCGACTTTTTGTTAATTAGTAAAGGTAGGGCGAAAGAGATTTGTAAAGAACTGATTGATTTGAGCGAAATTATCAGAACACTGTAATACAAATTCGATGAATGAATGAAATTCATGTCATAATGGTAAGCAATTACTTAACAAAACACGAAGCCAAGAATGGTGGCTAGCCGCAATATTATTTTTCGAATATAAGCAGCGTTTCGAGA